CACATCCGATAGAATCCTGAACTGCAACTCCGGCAGGCCTCTAACCCTGGGTTGCTGTAGGGTTTAGGGTTTAGGATTTAGGGTTTAGGGTTTAGGGTTTAGGGTGGGGTTTAGGGTTAAGGGCTTAGGATTTCGAGGAACTGTATAGGGTTAAGGTCCAGAGTTTTGACGGAAGTTTGGCTTTTCTACTACATATGGACCTTTCTTGAAACCTTTTGTCTAAAACTGCAAAATCTTTTTTGGAGGCAATTCGGTCTTTTTGGAGCCTTCTGGAGCCCTTGTGCCTTTTGGAGCCAATCTGAAATCGTTTTTATCCGCGGCAATTTCAGCTGTTTAGATCCAATTTGGGCTGTTTGGAGCCCTTTGGAACCATTTTGAACTCTGGCAACAAAAACAAACGCTCAAAAACTGAGCAGACATGCGATTTCTGCTTACCATGGGCTTGAGGGTTTAGGGTGTAGCGTTAGGATTTATGGTTTAGGGTACAGAGTGTAGGGTCCTAGGATAGGGCAACAATGTAAAGTCAGATGGAAAACCAAAAATTGAAAACGAAAAGAAAGCGATTGTCTGAAGAGTTCATGCAGTTAGGGAGCTAGGTAATTGGAGAAGGGCTTTTCGGGTTGCACGGCATTTTAATTATGCAGAGGTTCTGCCATTGTGACATCGGGGTACCGGGGGTTCAAACTACTGTTTCTCAAACTAGGTGCCCAGAGGATGCGCAGGGATTTTTAGCAGACTCCTGCCTGCATTAATCAAACGACTTTGCTTCAGGGCCAAGGGTTCATGGATGAGCTTTGGGGTTGAAAGTTTGGGGTCTTCACAGTCTCATGCTTGGGGATTCGGATCAGGTTTGTATGCCTGACCTACGTAATTCTCCCCCAAGCCCGAATCCTCAAACTCAAAAATCAAATCCTAAATCGAAAGCTAGGATTTGAATAGGCCATGCCTGCGGCCAGCTGTTGCCTGCAATTGCCACTGCCACCCTGAGACACCGCAGGCATAAAAGCCTGAATTTGGATGAAGGCGCCCATTAATGATCTCCATACATGAACAGCAACCCAAGGAGTACCACAAAAGTTCTTTTGGCAACACAAATGCTTTGGAGAGACCACTGTAGGCAATCGGCACTGCAAATGCTGCAACGAAGAGCCATGGCACTATGTGCAAGGTAGTAGAATGCGCCGTCATGAGTCTTAGGTCTCAAGCGAGATAACCAAGAGGTGAATCATCCAATATCATACATCCTGCCGTGTTTCGCAACATAGAGACAGAGGCAAAGAGACACGGGCATACATGGTACGCTAAACGTTCAAAAGCAATCATGATTTGGCGACATTGCCTGCAGAGGCGAAGGATGGAGGTTGGCAAAATTAAGCATGCTCCCAGCTGGTGCAGCTAACTACTTCGCTAGCACCAGCGAAATCCCAAAACTGATGACATGCCTGCAAGCATGACTAAAATGACGGAAAGCGTTTCTGAAGGCAAGTTTCAATGTGATCTGGGATTGGAATCTCGCGAGCTGCAATGGCAGCCAGCATTGTAGACTTGCCGGATCCGTTCCTCAGGCGCACAGTAAGAGGTCAGGAAAAAAAAGGCTGAGGGATGTTGACTTTAATCTTGGCTCTGCAATGCATTGTTGATAGCTTGGTCTAGGCGATGTATGAGGAGTGGCTACCAATGTAGGAAATTGGATGCGTCCTGCTAGAGCTTGTGGGCGCAGCTTTAAGCAGGGATGCTGTAGCAGCAATGCAGGACCATTGGCTCACAGGAAGTAAAGCATAGCGAGAACCATCCGTACCATTGTTGCACCCCTAAACCCGAAACCCCGAACCCTAAACCCTGGACGCCCAAATGCCAGGGCACATTCCAATCAGCCCATACCGTCGGCCAAAATTCAGCTCAAGCTTGGTATCCTGGCGCCAGGCTTCACCCTTAACAACCCTTGTAGTAGTCAGTGCCCTTTACATATAACTCCTAAGAAACTGCTTTAGGGAGTCTAGACTACAGCACATACTACTGTCCGGTATGAATGCAGTGGAGGCATGACCTCCCACAACCGATGCAACCCAGATTGCATTAGACATCATATTTTGCATGTACCGTGCAACACTGCGTCAAGCGAAGCAGACCCTCACTGTACGGCCTTGATGAACTCCTTGCCATAGACGCCCATGGAGAACTGCCTTAGCTTACTGGGCTTAGTAGAGAATCAGGGAATGTAGCCCCTATACAATCCGTGTGTAATATCTTCCCTTATTCCCTACTAGCCCCCAGGAAGTTGGGTGTGCAGGTCTCAGCTGCGAAATGGCAGAGACAAAGCCTATGCCGGGCTAGGAAGGTTCAGCAGGGCGCATGTGCCATCCTTAGAACTTACTTGGGGTTATAGTCCCCCTTAAGTAGATAGAATATGGTTTTGGGTATATTATAATAGGATCCCCATCATATAACCCATATTCTATCTACTTAAGGGGGACTATAGTCGGGAATAAAGAAATATATTATGAAAGGATCATATCCCTTATTCCCTACTACCCACCCATAACTTGAAGCAGTCTGCAAGCAGCCGACCCCTACAGTCTTGCAGATGTCACAAAACGCCTTCGCACAAGGATGCACACCCTAAATCCTAAACCTTGATTTTGGGTTGGAAAGTCCACTGATGCACATGTTTACACAAATACAAACATCCTCAAGCAGATTCATGTCCCTGCTTGCTGTGGCTGGCTCTCAACCATCCATGGAAAGTATACATCACGTGCAAAATAAATCCGCGATCATTTATTGAAGGATGGTTCTGGATTTTAGGACTATCCTCAAGGTCCGAGGTGCTCAATCTTCACGTCCATCGCCTGCACTACAAACAAGACTTCAAAGGCAGCACTTTCAAGGGGAGGTGTCATTCTTTAAAAGTCTGAAGGGGTCGGCGTACCTTGGTAAGAAGAGGACAAGCACCAAGCAAGCTCTGTTCCCGTGACTTGCGTGCGTTTCAGGATTCAATCCCTACTCAGGTAGACCCATGGTCCCATGTTCACGATTGCCAGGTCTGGGCTGGTCCTGGCACGAAAGGACTCTCCCACACTCTTTCGGCAAACGGAATGTCTTTCATACTTCGGAGCAGGAGGGCTTCGTTTATAACTCGTGTAGCAGCATTTTGTGGTACCATCCCGGTCAGAACCAGAAGAGCGAAGGAATTGAAAACTTGGCAGCTCAGACATGCGCGGCACAACGCTTCACAATCATCGCAGCTGCTTGGTAGAACTCCGGCCGTTTTCAGACAACTTGAAGAATTGCAAGGTTGCGTGGTGCTCAAGAAAGAGAAATCAGACAGTTGATTCCACCAGCAATACCTGAAAATTGCACAGCGGCACTTTCTCTACCAAGGACCATACAGGAATGCCAATGAAACCCCAAACCCTGACTGCAAGACCTGAAACTATTTGCCCTAAACAGCCACGTCGAAGTTTTGACCTCCTATGCAGCCAAAATGAAATTGCTGCGCAAATAGCAAGGACTTCAGATGTTGATTCGCACGCAAATTGCGCAAACGGGAATCCCGTTGCTTCGCCAAGTCATTACGTAAGAACTTCGTGCAGTTGAGGTGTAGATTGTCAACAATATACGCTTCAACCAAGATTCCTGACATACAAATGCGCGCGCAACAAATTCCAAAAAAAATGGTCATAGGGTTCCATATCTCTTCAATTCATAGAAGGACGCTAAAAGCGTGTTCACAGCCCGTCTATATCCCTAGGATTCCTAAGGCCCTCTTATGTAGAAAACACTCCCCTGCAAAATCCTACGATCCTCATTACGGGGACCCAACATGATCAAAATGGTACCCCTAATTTTGGGGAGGCCCCCAAGCTGTAATGCCAAACTCCCCAGGAAGGGACCTGCTGCTGCGATGCCAGCACACCGGTTACCACCGCTGTCTCGAGGACCTTGGCTGATCTACCCCAATAAAGGGATATATAGCATTTAGGGTTTAGGTTTTAGGGTTTAGGTTTTAGGGTTTAGGGCTTCGGGTTTAGGGTCTGGGGTTCCATGAGCAGGGGATTATTACCACAATATGGAGAATCAAATGGAAATCGAGTGAAATATGAAATGGAGGCTAGTATGTACAGGGTTATATAATTATGTAAGATGTGGGGACTATAGGGATTGAAACTTAAGGTTCAAGGTTTGGGTTTCAAGGCTTGTTTTGGAACAGATACCATCAGGTACCGTCTCGCAGCCAGGACTTCGGGTTGGTTTTTGAAGCGCTCCCCCACCAGTAAGGCCAGTGAGGGTTTCGGGTTTAAAGTTTAGGTTGGTGTTTCGGGTTTGCTGCTTTGTAGATTCCTGGAGTTGGGGGATGAGGGTTTTGGGGTATGAAGTTTTACTTGTTGAATTATGGCACGTGCATTCGGGATAAATGCAAAGTTCGCGCAAGACCTGTACATGATGTGTCTAAACACTACAAGCACAAAGTAAGAATGATTAAGAGGTTCACTAAAACGATTTAAGGCCTTTGCTAATTGATTGTCCAGCTACGAGCATTCTATCATCACTTCAAACTTCCCAGCCATGTAAATCAAACATGAGCTTCACCCTGCGGTCACGTAAATTCTACAACTAAAATTGGAAAATCAATGCTTGAGGAACTAAAGTTCGTGAATCTATAGAAGTTGGATGTTGTGGGCGGTCCTCGAAGTGATTCCCGCAGTTGGATACCTTCTTGGGTCTTCTGTCCCTTCTTTTGAAACAACCACCCGCCAGGATTCACGTAGGGCCCCAAACCCTTTGATAGCAGCTGCATAGGCCTAAACAAAGGCCTATATGTCCCAAACCCCTGTAGAACACTTGCGACAACTCGAAACTGTGTGTGTGGAGACTCCCAAAAGTCTTCAATTGCTGCATACTTTGGATCCTCAAGAAACAAAGCCTTTTCAACCTGCAAGTCCATGGAACTCGCACATAGTCTCAACAAGATGCCGCAGCACGCTTGATGTTTCCCTTGAGCATGGCCTCCTTTTGGACCTCTGAGGGCTCTGCAGTTCGGGGAAAGCAGATTGCAAACACAGATTTGGATTAGGGGCGGGATTCGGGCATTGTGTTTTTGATCCCCTTTTGGTTGAGGGTTGCAAGTTCACAGTTCAGGGCGATGCTGCTGCGGGCAAAATCCTTCAATACTCGCCATCCCTTGATGTTGTAACTGCCGTGGTACTATCACTGGTTGTGACCCGAGCCTGTGAAATCCTCTGATGGCAGAAGTGCGCGGATCTTTACTATCATCATTGTAGTAATGAAAACTGCCTTCATGATGTCCAGAACGATGGCTGTTGGGACTTGGAATTCTGCTTGGAGAGGAAGGAAATGAGGAGGAAAAACCCTGTTCCCTGACGTGTTGCCAAACATGTTTTTGTGCTGTACTCCAGGCATGCCTACCACCATCTGAACTTTTCGAACTTTGTCTCGCCATGCCTAAGATTCCCAAAGTCGTGGCTCGACTTGAACCCGAGCAGAGACCGGAATCAAAGGAACGCTTGCCTTGTCCACCTGCTCGGCTGCCTTCTTTCCTGGGCTCACGAGCCACACAACCAAGGTCATACCTACCCTAGCCCAAGAATAACGTGGAATGTATAAACCAAGCCTTGCACCAAACAATGCAGATATTACAATTTACACCAACAGCGGCAGAAACACGGTCATCAGCAAACCGCATGAAGGGCTTGTCACTGACACATGTGTTCCAAAGCCCATAGCCTATACCCCGCAGTCGCAGATTCGTGCAACACAGTTGTTTACCTGTGAAGCCCTGCAGAGGACACGCGCGCTCTTGACTCTACCTCAGCAAATCCTGTGGAGCTTCTGTTTATCATGACGAACCTTCATAAACTGCCACCAGAAGTCTTCAACAAGCTTATCAAAATGACGTCTAACATTAGGTAAACAAGCAGCCAAATCCAGTGCAATTTTCAAAACTTTAAATTGCTTTGAAATTACTTTAACTCCTTAAGGGAAGTTATTTAAAGAACCCCTTGAACCCTAAATAACCCGATTATAAAAGTTTCCATTTTCTTTTCCATTATCCCAATATAACCCAATATACATGAGTAGTTTCCATTTTATTTCCATTATGCCTATATTACCCCTATAGAATCCCTATAAAACCCTTAGTAGCTTCCATTTTCTTTTCCATTATAACCCCCAATATACCCCTAATCTTACAGCTCACAAGTCCAACGCCGAGCAGCCAGCCGCAGATCCGGACTTTGCCTTGGCCTTGGCCTTCCGTGCCGCATCTTCCTGGAGGGAAGATGTTTATATAGGGATTATAGGGATTATATAGGGTTTATGGAAAATGGAAACTACTATAGTATATTGGGGTTACATATTGGGAGAATGGAAACTACTATGTAAGGTGTAGGGTTTAGGGGTTTGGGGGTTTAGGGGTTTAGGATTTAGGGTGATTCGTATCGGATTCATACTGACTGTTATCTTGGAGTAGAACTTTTCAAGGGCAGCTGCAGGGTCAAGCTTCAAGTTCGGTTAAAATTTTGTTGTGCTGCCGTTTTCAAGGCTGCACCGAATTTCCAAGAAGCGAAATTCAGGGATATCTATCAGAATCCAAGACTAGGAGCAGAACCTCGTCAACATCATGGGCATGGGGTGGTTCTTTACCGCCTTCACAGCCTGATGATCTCACAAATTTGTCCACCGAAGGTCGTGAATCAGTCTTGTCCATTGACTACATGCTGTTGGAGGACACCCTGGTGCATTGCCTATGACGCAGAAAACTGCTTGGGGTTTGGAATACTTAAAGCCATGCAGCATGCAGTCCATCCAAAACAAAAATATTCCACCCTCATACCCGCCTTGCGGCCCATGGTGTAGAAGTTGAAGAAGACTCCCGGTGCTTCGCACCACCAAATGCTGAAATGCTGCGGGAAAGTCAGAACACAGATGCTCAGTATCCCCAGCTGTGGGGAACGCTGCCCAAGGCCTACCAGCCTGGTCACAACACTCATGCTGCGAAGTTGTTCGATCATCTCCTGGAGCGTGTTGTGTCTAAACTCCTAGTATGGACTGGTCTGAGGCATTGTCTGGTACATTGAGTCTGTACACACATCCAAGGTAACACTCATACAGTCTCTTGCTGCCGTGATACCAGGCTAAAGATAGCATAATCGAATTCAAGCAGAGGTGAATGCACGGGACATCAACTGTAAGACAAAATTCCAGCGGGACACTTGCACTTGAAATTCTGAGGATATTTTCAAGGCTCCATGGAGGAGTTTGCTTGAATCAAAGAGACAAAAGAATCGTCACTAGTGCAATTCAAGCTGTCACAGATCGGAATGCTTGTTGAGTTGCCGAGGAAGCCATCCTCTTCGCTGTTGGTAGCCACGAGGTGAGCTTCCAACATGTTAGGCGGCTTGGGTGCCTGCTGACCTCAGCCAAAATAGCGACAAGATCCGATACTCTCCAAATTTCTACTGGACTCGATCTTTGGCACTAGGCATCGCACTTCGCAACTCCTCACGCAGCTGCCCGAGTGTTAGCAGGATTGCTTTCAGGGACCTGCTTTTGTTGACTTCGATGTCCAGGCTCCGCTGCAATGCATCCGGATTCACGGGCAGCATCTGCTTGAGCTCGGCTTCGTCGGTATCCGACGCAATGCTCATCATGTCTTTCATCAACGTCTTCTCACGCTCGTCAAGCAAATAGTCTATAAAATCGGCATGGATCGTGGCCCTAAGCAAATCAGCGAGGATCATGGCGTTCCGGACATAATACTGGTAGGCTGCAGCTCGCAGGTAATCAAAGTCCAACACGGCATACTCCTGTGGGAAGATCTGGGCCACGCCGCCTTCCACAAGCAAGGCAAAAAAGAGCCACTCACAGAAACCCTCAGCACCCCGACCCCGCCCAGCCTTCAACGTAGTCACCGATGTTGTACAGCTTTGGATGCTGGCCACTCAGAAGGGCTGTCTGCTCTACAGCGTTAAGCTTGTCAAGCTCACGCTTTGGTGTTTCTTTCCTGGATCTCGGCTTGGCTGCAGGCGGCACATAGCGGCCCTGCTCGGATACTTTGATCTCAATCTTGTGAGATCCTGTGGGAGGAACATCCGGATAGCATCTCTCGCGTTGAGATCAGCTTCTCGTGAGGCAGCATGTATCAGAGATCCGTCGCTCAAGGATTCCATGAAAATGGTGCTGCGCTTTCCTAGCAAACCCAGCAGCAGAGGAGACGGGGGTGTAGCGCTTTGACTGCCGCATGTATTCAAGCACTGGATGCATGTAGTCAGCGAAGAATGACTGCAAGAAGGTTGTGTACCACTCGACTCCTCCAAGAACGTACACAACTGGAACAGGTCTCAACATCAAAGTCTTTGCTTGCTATCCCCCTACCACATGGGATACACATGGGACCCACCAGCCTTCAGACTGGCAGTAACTAGCAGCACACAAGCTGTTGGGCTCCGAGCGTCCTGCATTCAGCTGGTGCACTTGATCTGCGGCAATCTGCATGACCACCTCTGCTGATGGGAACGTCTTCATGCCTCGCTTTGAAAGGCCCCGCTAGGTAATTGCAACCGACATCGGGTTTTGTACCTGTTTGGGCTTTCTAGCTGTGTGTCATCCCAGCATGCCCTTTCCCGATGCCCTACCACTTGAACAAGCACACT